GGAAAGCTCTCCATTGTCCACCCACTGCAGTCGGTTAAAATTATTGTTATTGCTGCGAGTGTTTGTTAAAATTTTTGCAATTAAGTTTCAATCCCGGCAGCCAAGGCGTCCATTACAAACCGTTTAGTTGGCCATTCGATGGAGCAGGTCCTCCTATTCCCTATACCCATTCCCCCGATTCTCAAGATGAGTGGTGGGTGTGGAATGTGGAGTTTGCCTCATGCATTTATTCATTTCATTTTGTTTAAGTGACCTTTTGGCCCGGCCAGCGCGTGACCTTTGACCGGGGGGAACAGGTGAGAATGGGTGGTGGTTGGGCGCCTGGGTGTTGGCTGTTGGCTGTTTAATGACTGCACGTAGTCGCATGTGTGAAATGTGTGTTTGTGTGCCCGGCACACTTCATTAAATGCGCATATAATTTGTGACTCGCTCTGAACTTCGAACCCGCTTTTAATTGCCCTCAGGTCACAAGGGCACAGTGGAAAAGGATCTCTAAGATTTTACTGAAAAATGGTACAACATACCCAGCAATCGTTTCAATACTCTTTAATAATATAATATATAATATATAGTATAATATAGTAATGGTACGATATATGTATACTATATAGAGCATTTACAATTAAAAACAAGTTGTTATACATTATATAAGCCCAAAATCAGATCGTTCCCTTTAAGAGCCTTTAAAATCCTCAAAAAAAAATAGATTTTTGTATTGAAAATATACCCTACAACATTTCGTAGAAGACTTATACTTTCAGTTAACTCTAATAGCAATATCAAATCACTAAAGTTTTCTTTTCTTTTCTTTATCATCTCTAAAGTTGTCTGATTTCTATTATCCCATCTGCTTTTATTTACCCCTTCTTTGAGTCCATCACTCTTTCATTTACTTAGTCGACTCAGCATCGCTGATTCTTTGTCTGCAGACTGTGATAACTTAAGGCTGTCCTTCCGAGGATATCTTCGCTGACACTTTTGCCCCCGCAAAACCACATTTTGGCCCACTGTGCCACAAAGCCACCTTTCTTAGCTGCCATCATGCCCAACCATTTTTGTGATTCCCGTGGGCTTTCCTTTTTCGCCCCGCCGGCCATTTTGTAGTTTGTTTTATTGCAATTGCATTACAAAGTCGCAGCTGCTGACAAGTGAGTTGAAATGAATGGGGGGGAGGGGGTTCCTGTTCCACTGTTCCACCCAGGCCCAAAATGTTATTCATAGCCGAAGCGGAACAAACGCTTATTACACCTTTTAATTGGGAATTTATGGCGGACTTGAGTGGATGAACGAGTGGGTTGGGCGTTGGAAAAGCGGTTAATTTACAGCTGGGACAGCGGACAATGAGAGGAACCACCCACCTGCCGACGGTGAATTTATGCCGACGTCCATCCCCCCCCCATCCCAATTCGACGACCTCGAGGGATAAGCAAATAATCCCCTTATAATTAGTAGCCAACAGGATGGGGAAAAAGTGGAAACGGAACGTTGACAACAACGGGGCGAAAGCCCAAGGACAACAAGAGGCCGCCAAGTGGTTAATGTTGAGCAAATTATTAAATTTTTGGACCGGCTTAATGGGGGCGTGGTCTAGGCGGGGCCATAAAAAGATTAAACAGGCGAGAGCGGCGTGTTAATTTATGGCCAACAAATATGCTCGACAAAACGTTTAAGCAGGCCGCCTCTCCGTTCGTCCTTTGAAAAAAGGACTCGCCACCAGAAGCCAAGGCCAAATGTCCTTTGGGGGGGGGGGGGGGCAAAAGGACCCTCGAGGATGGGGGACTGTAGGCAGTGACAGGTGGCCGTAGTCGCTTAGACCCGCTTAAAAAGTTGTAAAATTTGTTAAAATACTTGAGCGCGTCGAATAAAGAAAGCATGCGAAAAATTAAACGAGCGTAAATAATATAAAAAGCAACGACAAATGGACAATGGCTTGGGCGGTGTTCGGATGTTTTTTAGGAATGGCAGGATATTCGCGGGTTGAGCGGACTAAGCAGATAGCAGCTGCATGGGACAAGTTTTGAGGGGGGAATATCGGCACAAAGGACTTTCTTTGTTCAACCCTGCACAGAAAGGTTAGTTGCGAAACAAAATGTTCGGCCCACGAGGTTGTATGAAAAGTAAATGAAAGGCTTAAGTGCAAAAAGTCCTCAACTGTAATTAATTAAGGGGAGAGCTTAAAACATCTCCATACCTCTGCTTTATTATGCCCCAAAAGAAGTCCAGCATATTCATGCTTTTTTTGTAAAAATGATACCCAACTTATAATAAATTAACTTACTTAACATGAAGCTGCCTGCCAAAGAAAATTATATCTTTTAAAATATGAAAACTATTTTAAAATAGATTATTTTTTAAATGAATTAATAATACGAAAATAATATGAAATGGCCATATTATCAGAGGCAAAATTTAAATAATTATAATGCATTGCATTATATGCAAAAACGAATTTAAAACATTCCATTTTGAGCTCACTTCGCTCACAAATAAATCGAATATTAGAATAACTCTTTGGTAATTTTATTTTATTTTTTGAGACTCTCCTCCTTTTGTACAAGCTGTCCTTTTTGTCCTTTTACCATTCCCCAATGAAGGCCCAATTAAGTTTTTGGCGGGTCATCCCAGGGGATTCCTCTGCAGTCCGGACTTGACTTATCCCGAGGAATGGGACAGGGACTTTTGCCCGGTTACTGGCACAATCAGATGGCTTTCAGTCGGGCCAGAATGCAATCAAAATGAGCTGCACAAAGCCGGAGCCGCATTATCCGATGTCTCTGGCATTGTTTGGCCGGATGTCCAGGGCTCCTCTGCCTCGCTTTTGAGGACGGACGTTAAGGCCCTTAATGAAAACTGTCAGACAATGACAACGATTTCCATCGCCGTCCCAGCCGATCCATGTGCAATCATTGATCTGGGATATTATTATTAATATTTCATATAGGGACAGTCTCCGGCTCTGTCTCATTATGAAAACATTTAATAAAATTGCGATTAAATTCGCAAATAAAAGTGCGTGGAGCGCCGGAGGGAGGAGGGGAATAACGTTCAACTAATTAAGTTAATATTCCGAGACAAAGAGGGCAGTCGTAATTTATGGCCATTTGCATTTACATCGATTTCGGAAGGTCGGTTGTTGCAATGGCGAATGGAAAGTTAAGCGGAGTGAATGTGGATGCGGCGGCTACTTTCATGTCCATGTCGTCCATGATTCAAAAGCGTCATGCATTATGCAAATTAATTTAACTACAAAAAACAAGGCAATATGCAAAAGTCCTGCAAAAATGCAAAATTAAATAAATGAAATAAAGGAAAAGCCCCACAGCGAGCGAAGACAAATAAAATGGCAAAAAAGTGCAGTGCAATCATAGCTGACAGTGCGAAATTAAATCAAATAAAACATTCAATGCGACCGCAGACAGAGACAGATAGAGGGGCAGAGAAAGAGATGGAGACAGCAGTGGGGCAATCGAAGCCACCTAGTAAATTAAATATTAATTACAATAAATCAAAATGGAGTGGACAATCGGATTTCTATGGGAGCGACTTTAAGTTGGAAGATTTAAATGATCTGGAACAACAAAGCTGGCAAGCTCGTTAAATAAAAACAAACCCTTTTTCATATATTAAGGAAACGATTGCACCACCAATTCATTTTCAGCTGAGGAACCCAAAAACAACACATAAATTTCCTGTTATTGTCGGTAGTATGAAAACGCGGGTCTTCGACTGTTATATTAACTAACTTACCTTCTCTTCTCGTACCACTTCTTCGGAGTACACTACCAATCTGCAAGTTAAATTTGCCACCCATAGTTCAACCTTCTCCCATTTCGTGCCGAGTGCTAATCGATTTGGTAGCAATTTTAACACCTGGGCCAGGCTGCCATAACTTAATTGCCTAGTTGACATCATTTTATGCATGCACACACACCATGTACTTTTAATTGCACATCATCAACAGCTGGATGAAAAAAACGGCGTATGCATAAATTATACACCAAACGTATAGTTTACATTTAATATTTTTTCCACACCAGTTTCTCCACCAACACTCTAATGCTGGGTGAATTCGATTGGATGTGTCAACAAATTTGCGAGCTATCAAATTAAAGGCTGGCGCATGGAATTCCGATTCCCAATTGAAAGGGAAATGGCCACAAAACGGTCACAAAGTGTTCACATCTGGGTGACAGGACCATTGTTCGAGCTTCGAATTGAAAATGCAGCGTTTGAGTTTTTTTTTGTTTTTTTTACACTTTTATTGAATTCATATTTGGTTTTTGTGATCGAATCTCTCGTTTTTCGGTTCAAATTGCATGGTTCTGACTGTCTGTGTATATGTATCTGTGTTTGTGTATCTATGTGTGTCTGCTGTGTATGTGTATGAGTGTGGTAATTACCTTCGTTAATCTGTTCTTAAACCTATGCAATTTAATCCTTTACTTTTGTTCCACTTGATGGTAGGATCCCATTTTCTTACCCTTTCCGTAATTATAGTTATTATGAATTGTAATATTTCAAAGTGTCCCGTTTCAATTGGAACAACACACATATTTTCCATTGAATTCGGCATTTTTCTTATTTAACCACATTAAAATTGTTTGCTTTTGACGCCATTGTTTATGCTTAAAATTGTATTTAACATATTTACTTTAAAATTGTTTTTGCTCTCCACGCACTTTCTGTTTACTTTTTCCTTTAATTAACTCTACCACAAAAACAACACAAAAAAAAAGTTTAAAAAAATGCTTAAAAAAAAAACTCACAAAGAAAAGGAAACAACGAAAAAAAGAGCTTCATAAAATTAATATACACATATCGAACGAACATAATAATGGGGTCAACACATTTTTAATTATCGCTTATCATTTACATATTTATATCGGTTTCATTCAATTACAATATACCATATATTCATAGGTTTAGCATCTGCAACATGGACTTTATTTCACCTTATTTTATACATAGAAATTGTTGTCGTTTCTTTTTTATTCATTTAATTTTTTTTTTCATTTTTCATTTTGCTATTTGCTTTTTCTCTATTTAAGTTCTGGTTTCGGTTTGATATTGAATTACATTCAATTTGCTTATAAACATTTAAACACTCTTTTTAAGTTTTGCTTAGACTAGTGCATGCGGATAGATGGAGAGGAAAATCAAAATACTGGCAGATACATTTACAAATACATTAACTTGAAATGCGGTTGCAGCTCTGGCGTTGTAACTTGAATTATGTCTGGGATTGGGATTTTTATAGGGTTGATTCTGATATTGATCCTTGGACTTGACTTATTGGCCTTTGAAAGGAGCTTTGCAACATTCAACACACTTTTATCGAAAAGATTCGCGGGGGTTCTTCTTGATTTTCATGATTTTCTCTGAATGTTTTGGTCTTTATTTTGGGGCTTTCCATATACTTTTTTTTGCTTTAATTTGCTAAACGTCATCACATTCATAAAATATATCCTTTTTTTGGTTTTCGTTTCCTGTTCCTTCATCCTTTTCATTATAGTTATGCATACTAAGTGGTACCATCGTATTCGTATTCATATCCATATAATTACGTTTAGTATGGAGAGTATTCTGAATATTATCTTTTGTTTTTCATTTGGAGCGAAAACGTATGAGAAGTTTCCAGTGCATGGGTCACCGGGTTTCTAGGGGCTGGGATTGGGATAGGGTTAGACCCTTTCTCTGGGGTGGGATCGCGGATTTCTGATTCTGTTTTCGGTATTCCAGTGTTTCTCTATCTGTCCACTAGCTTGGCTTAAAGTTACCGATTTTATGTGTCTGTGACTGTTCTTTTTTCTTCTTTTTTTTTTGGTTTTTGCTTTAGAGAGAGAGTCAGTTAGAGAGTTATAGAGAAATAGAGAGAGATAGAGATAGATAGAGAGAGACACTTAAATACTCGAGTTGAATTAGCAATACGCTTTATTGGATAGTTGTTTAGTTCTCTATTTCAATATCTGCTCTCAATGGCATTTTCATTTTCATTTTCGTTTCGTTTTGTCAAACATACAACAATAATTAATATCGCTTAGGCCCTAAACACATCAAAAATGCCCTATATGTAGGTAGAGATTATTCTGATCTGATATATGGGAGTAGGCAAAAAAACAAAAAAAAATCCATAGACTAATTATGCTGATTTGCTTTATATGTACACATTTAATCCAACAATCAATCGCTAATCCTAGCCCTCATCCATCCGTTTTAGCTACTTTTTTTCTTCACTCCCTTTCATTTCGCTTACATTTTACTATAGTCTTGAACTTATGCTAGGTTTACAAAAAAAATTCTTTATCATACTTAGGCTTGCCTCAAATCGCAAGGGTTTTCCCATCAAAACTTCTCTCTGCTATTTATTTATAATATGTTTAGACACCTATAGCTTATCCTTGTACTAGAGAATGTGTTCTTTTTGTCGGTGTGTGTGTGTGTGAGAGAGTGTGTGAAAGTTGGAAAGAATCGAAAATAAAAGTTGAATAGATGAATTCATATATAAACTCGACATTTCCTTCTACCATTTTCCTATCGATGGAAGAGAAATCCCAGGTGAGTTGCTTTATTTACAAGGTGTGTGTCTGTGGCTGTTTGCTTATGTAGTTATTTTTACCTGCCCCCAAAAACATGGCCAACTTGACCCAACCATTTACGGAAATCATCTGCTTACCTCTCTCTCTTATTTCGTTTCAATAATCTTTTCAATCCGAATTTTCTTTGGAATCCATACTATTGGTTCCATTTCATTTACCCCACAGCATAATCTATCTTTGGTTAGCTTTAGAAAAATCTGATAAATATATGTTTTTATTTTTGTTTTCATGGGCCAAGTCTGGCTACTTAATTTAGTGATAACAGGATAAGCGCTCCAGCCCGCTCACAAAAGTCCAGGGGCGTTGGAGAGAAGGGGGCCCCGCAGGTGGGACAAGAGCAGGGATCGAACCGGAAACCGGAAATGGTAAAGTGGAAATGGAAACGGAGAGGGAAAACTGAAAACCAGGGAATATGGGATCTAATGGAGCAGAGGGGCGAGCAGGAGGGTGCAAGAGGATCAACCTAAAATGCGACTCCTGTTGGCAACTGAGCAGCGTTTCCGGTTCCCGATCCTTGGCAGAGCTATGTCCCAAGGACCGGGCTCCTCCCGAATCCTCTGCGGCAAAGATCCCCCTCCTCCCGCTGGAGATCCTGGCTGATCCTGGTGCTTCGTTGTCCATTGCTTGGCGTGTCCTTGGTGGAGGGGCTCCTGGGGTGGTGGGCGATCCTTAGTAAACCGGGGGGCGTGTCCGGAACGAGGGCGGCGGCGGCGGCGGTGACGAGGGCGGAGCAGCAGGCCACCAGCTGGAGGAGCATCAGCGTACCGCAGGTGAGCAGGACCAGCGGCAGCAGGACCGGCGGCTGGGACGCCGTGGAGTTATTGTTGTTGCCCGTGTGCATGGCCGCCGGATGCTCGCCTGAAACGAAACGGAAACGGAAATGGAAATGGGAGAGCGATCAGTGGACAGTACAAGTTAAGAGGTAATCGAAACAGCGACACGAACAGCGAATGGCATTCACATTTATAATTGTTTTAATGGTCAAATATTTTATTTTCCACTCCCTTTTTATCTCTTTTGATTTCCAAAATCCCCTAAACATTTATTTATGCATTTCCTTCATACCAAAATATTTTATTTACCATTCCCATTTTATCCGTTTTTTTAAATAATCCCCAAAAGATTTATTTTTGCATTTCTTTGACGTTCAAATATTTTATTTTTCCATCCCTTTTTATCCCTTTTAAATTACCAAAATCCCTTAAACATTTTTGTGGTGATGAAATATTTGCCTTTCAACCCGGTTTTTAAAAAACTTGTTTGGCAATAAAGCTTCCGAAAAAATCTGATTGATTTTTTAATGTTAGAACGCAACTTATTCAACTTTTTACCAAGCCTATAAATATTTTATATAAATTTTGGAGCTTGTAAAGTTATCTTTAATTTTGTTATATTTACCCAATCATTTATATAGTTGTTCAAATTCAAATTCCCAACAAATTGTGATAGGAAAAACTATTTCAGCTTGCAATAGAAAAACGCCTGAATTCAGTAGAAGCCCACCAACGATTGATTTACTCCTCGCGAACCAAGTCGAGTAGCCAAGTAAGCAGCAAATAAATTTCTACGAAAATGTTATTCAGATAGTTGGAAAACAATCAACAGCCCGGATGCGATGGCAATCGCCACAGACCAATAAAAGCGAGCGCAAGAAGTTAATTTGGAAGTGGACTGCACTGCATCTCGCAGATCCACTAAAATACATTGATTCGCCAAAGAGATGAGAGTGTAGTGGAGTGAAGTGGAGTGGAGTAGGGGACTTGGGCCTGCAGCTGGATATGAATCTGCATCTGCTACTACTACTGCCATGGGCCCCCCCTGGAAAATCCAGAAGCTTTATTGCCTATTAACTTAATTGCCGGCAATAAAAACGCCAAGACTGGCTCAAAAAAAAAAGCCAGCAAAAAACAAGGGCAGCGTTCAAAAACTGCCCAACTACTTGGCGGCACTCGACTAGATGGGTGGTTTTTCGGGTGCCTGGAAGGTGGTTTCGATGGGTGGCTGGGGGGCCCAGTTGGCAGATAGGGAGCCATAAATTTTGGCATGAAACGCGCGAGAGTCTGTCGTCGGGGCGGATTCCGCTGCCATGACTCCTATGGCATCTATATAGCCCCCATAGCTTCTGTAGCTTCTGCAGCTTCAATTATCATGCATCGTTCGTCCTTTACGAGTTCGTTGATGCCCATCATGAGCTGTTACTTAAGAGTCCGTCTGTGTCTGTGTCTGCTTCTGTGTCTGTGTCTGTATCTGTGTGCTCCTGCCCGAATGTGCGTGCGGGTGCTGCAGTGTGTGTGACTGGGCCGCACTGTGGTGCTAATACACCTAGTGAAAGCACTTTCTCCACGAGCTGAATGCTGATTAACGCACGCCAACGTGCTGGTAATAAATTCCCGAACTTCGGAAGAGAATTACGACTGCTGAGACAGACAATTGATCATTATTTGAAAGTGTCTTTTTAAAGGGGGTAATCTTGTGTTCTTTCAAATTAAGAAGAATGCAAGAAACTCTGTCAAACTCTTATTAAAAAGTATTTTATCTCCAAGAAAATATTTTTATACAAATTCTGAGCTCTCTAGGTGTTATAAGAATAAGCCAAAATCATTGGCACCACAAAAAGCAATAGATTTAAAATAATTTGTACTTAAGCCTAAAAGTATGCAACAATTTATTTTCCCTCCGAATATGCGATGAATAATTGCATAAAGACGACTGTGTGGTTTCTAAAGCATACTTTTAGGCACTTTTATAAGTGATTTTAAATCTCTATTGGTTTCTGTTTGACTGTTTGACTAAGAAACCTTTTTCTAAATAGGGCATTTCTTAGTTCCCCAAATCCCAATCCTCACCACTGTACCCATCTCATCTGTGCAGCACCACGTGCTTAGGGCATTCCAAAAGTTTTCCATGCCGAATGCTAAACGACAACGCCAATAACTCGGCGCAGAGCGGATCGTCCAACGTCTCTAATTACTGGCAGTTGAGGAAGGGAACTTTGGGCCTTGGTCCCATTCCCCCAGTTAATACGGTTTGACATAATTAAGCGTACTGCGTCCTTTGTCCTCTGTACTTCGTCCTGCAGATGACAATGAATTGTCGCCGATTCGCCAGTCACCATTCGCCATTCTCCATTCGCCACTTATGACAGGCCCCAATCCCACGTTTTTGGCATCAGACTTCTTCTTCGAGTGCGTTAAAAAGCAAGCACTTGCAGATAAAAGCGCCATAGAAAGTACACTTAATTGGATTGGGGGTCGGATTTGGTGCGGTCCAGTGAAACTTGGACTTGTACTTAGACTTGGACTTGGACTTGACCACGCAGCTGAGGCAGCAGTTCAATTAATGAAAATGACTTTGATGTGCGGCCACAGAGGCGACTTCTGTGTGGCTAGGTGTAATGATCGCCTTAAATGGCCAGAAGTCCAGAAAACAGGACCAGCTCGGGCAAAACAAATAGCTGTAAGCGGCTTTGTTTCAGCTTTGAAGCTGGACGAAATTATCAATAATGCAGCAAGCGTAGGAGATACACTGGGGGAAAGGTATTACTAGTTAATACTGTGATTTACCATAGCAAGGAATCAGTTAACTTCCTTTTCATCAGGAAAAACAATTACTTTAAATACGTTCTATCATTAAATCAAAATTTTAGACTATTCCCTTTAGAAGTTGGGCTGTTGAAAAAGGAATATATTTATTTTAAAGGACATCTGTTTTGAGAGTGTACTGCAGCCAAAAGCGAGCAGCAAGGACAACAATCGCCAGAAGAAAGGACTAGGAACTCTGAACTGGAGGTTAACTCTGATTTCGAGAGTGGAAGTGGCAAGTGAAGCCAAAAACGAAAACGAACGAATGAATTCGAGATGACAGTCTAGAGTTGAGACACTGAAAATGGAAGCACGCTTCTGTGGAAACCGTAGAGTATTAAATTAAATGCTGAATGCATTTGTCCTTCGGCTGGCAGTGGCTCTTTGATTCAGGCATTCACTCTATACACGTTATTGTTCAAGGCGAAATTAGTACAAGAACTCCGTTTAAATGGGAAAATGATTTATATGAGCCTAGGAATCATTTGCTGCAGGGCAAATTAATTTAATTAGCTCAACTAATATGAAAACTGCCTAAGCTTGGATCTTGCTGAAAGGCTTTTATATAGATTATTACATTAAACTGTCTTCAAAAGTGTCAAGATATTTTGTTATATAGTTTCAGGATGGGAAAATAAGCCGAAATCGAATCGTGAAATGGAATTTAGTCCGAAAAGGGGAACCAAAACTTGCTCGACTTCGTGCTCTTGATTTCTTTACTCATTTGCAAAGACGCCGCTGAAAGCTCATTTACCGACTTAGGTATGCTTCGCCGCTCAAAGAGTTCGACTCCGCCGGAAGGGGAAATAATCCCAGCCCCCACGAGAAAAGGGGGCGTAACCGGAAGGGGGCGATATCTCTATTCGTTGGAACTTGAACGCCTTTGTGCCGATTTCAATTTGGCAGTTCACTCGGCTTTGGGCACAGCGAAAAAGAAGCAAGTTGCATTTTATATTATACTATCAAAACAAGTTACACTTTATTTTTTATTAAGAACTATTTAATTTATTAATAATCAAAATCAAACTAAAATTATTCAAATTAAAATATTAAACAAAAATGTTTCATTTAAACGGGTAATGATTTATTGTTCAATTGGGACTTTTGACCTTACTAGCAGATAGACTTAATCAAATATTTTTTTTGCCCTTATTTTTAATCATATTTAAGCAAATTAGTCAAAAATATTATAATTAAAAACTCTCTACTTGAAATAAAATTCCAAAATAATTAGTTTGAAAAGTTTCTTAAATGTATAAATGCTTCTCTACTCTTTTTGATATGATTTGATGATCACTTCTTGATGGATTTTCCTCATTCTTTTTTCTCCGTGCAGCTTGTCAGATATTTTTATTAAATAAACTACTTGAGAGGGGTGGACTTGTGGGCGGTCCCCCTCCAATCGCCTCCCTGGCATCAATACCCTGCCCTGCGGCGCCTTTCCCCGCAACGCTGAGCGCAAACAACTTGTGTTAATTACTTAAGTTTCAGCAGTTGTTCCACTTAACAAGTTGCCGCTTCTTCCACACTCTGGGCCTCCTTAGCCGCCCCTATATTCAGTATATTGTTGTTATTTTAGTCTAATTCCATGGCGTATTTGTTGTAGCGTGCCGCTTACACGCCAAAGTCATTTGCGCTCAAGTTGTTAAACTTTTTGCTTTGTAAGCGCTTTTTTCCGGCCTCAGCGGAAGCGGCGAACGCTGGGCGGAAAGGCGGTGGGCGTTTGGGCCAGGCCAAAAAAAAGGGGGAGTGGCACCTAAAGCTTAAGCCATAGCGGGAAATTCCTCAGGCAAAAAAGAGAGAGGCGTCTGCGGCATAAACGAGTCAAAACTTGCGCAAATGTTGATGCTCAAAGTTTTTCCTAACTAATTTTCTTTGACTTTACTTTCTACCATGTGAGTGTGTTTGGGTGTGCGAAAAATTTGAGATATTGGCAACAAATTGAGGAGATATAACTGGTAGAACCAAAAAAAAATGTATATTTATGGAATTGTTCCTGAAAATACTCAAGCATTGCTAACCTACATAAGTTGTGTTACCAAATCTTTGGGAATCTTTAATTTGTATTTTTTGTTGATACATTTTAAAATAATTTATTTAATTTAAAAAGAATTGTAGTTAGTTTATTACTAAAGAAAAATGTCCTGAATATTTTTAAAGGCTTTTAAAAGCCATGAAAAAATGTCAAATGAAACATATATAAACTGAAAAGAGGCCCTTAGCGAAGTCAAAGTCAAAGTTTTATTTTACGTTCAGCTAACCGCTAAGCTCCTTGAAATCGAGAAAAAGTAAAGTTCTGGCCAATATTTTTTTGAAAAGGATTAAAAGACAGTTAATACCCCAATTGCATGTAAATACCAGAGGAAATACTAACAACTTACGTACCCGGTTCGTTAGGAAGCTTAATTTAAGGTGAAATTCCACAGCACCCCTCTTTTTTGAATATTTAAAAATGTTGTTCCGCACAGAGTTTTAACCTCCGGTTCGATAGAGCACGAAACGAAAAAGCAGATTGCTCATACGCAAAGTTGTCGGCTAATTGTTGGTAAGCACCCCCAGCTATTTCTGCCCCCCTTCCCAAAAATCCCAACGGCCACCCATCGTCTCTACGAGCTTTTTGGAAAAAGTTGTCGTCAATCACTGGACGCGCTCGTCTGTCAAATAAAGCCAAACAAGCTTAGTTGACTTTTGGGCGCCGCACATTTGTCTTGCTGTGCCGGGCCATTCGCAAAGTGACCCCTGACCCACTAGCCCCTCGGGCCAACTAGCACCAGCACTGGAAAGAAATCTAGTTGGGTTATAATCTAGAAGAACTTATAAGTTTATGGCGTAAAATAAAAAAAACATGCAAGAAATATACAAAAGTTATTTAGATAGTTTTGTTATATTATTAAAAATGATTTCCTTTAAAGCTGAGTTTTTATTTTAAGGAACGATTTTTATTTGTATATGACTTTTAGGCCAACTTATAATATTCCAAAAATTGTAATACTAAAATTTGTTTTTTTTTTGAAGGTTGTACAATGGCAAATATAATATTAGTTGGTCCCAACTATGTCAATTGACTCTAAAGAAAAGCAAAAATATCTCATATATATCTCTATCTGACGGATTCGGAATTGTTCTGTAGTCAAGAATCAAGATTCCTATACATTTACCTATATTTTGAAGAGAAACCTTTAATAAATTAAATTTATTGTTAGTTCACAATATAAATAAAGGCATGGCAAATAAATATTCATGTAACAATGTCAAATAGTAGAATAATTTTTAAAAACCCGTAAGATCTTTACTTGAAGAGACAGAATTTAATTAAAAGTAAAGGACAGCTTTAAAGGTTTAAAAATATTCTATAAGGCCTGTTACATTTTTCACTTTCGAGTATATTACTCGAATTTCATAAGGTAATGTTTTAAATTAGTATAATATCTTAGAATTTTATTGAAAGACTCATAATATGGTATCAAGTAAGGGAAAGTTTTCAACGTTATTAACTATAACTAAAAGGCCTGTTACGTTTTTCACTTTTGCGTGTACAATTCGAATTCGATTTAAGAAAATGTTAATATTTAGTAGGCTTATAGGTATTATTTTAAGATTAAAGATATATGTTTTCTTTAACGGATCAGATGATATAGAACTATTATCACAACGGTTATAAAGTACAAATCAGAAAAGGTCTGTGATTTTTGGATTCTTAAGTCCGCGACTAACTGGGATCCAGCACCTCCTGGTGTTCCCCCCTCAGCTACCCCCCTTTTTTCCCAGTGCACCCACAGCAAGGACAACACTCATATTTAGGTAAGGCAAAGCGTTTTGCATACCGGGCTACTCACCATCGACGATATGCACGCGGACCGTGCTCGGATTGGCGTTGGAGGGGGTGCATGTGTAGAGTCCCGAGTCCTGGGTGATGGCCTTCTGCACCAGGAGCCGGCTGGTGGTCAGCACACCTTTCTCGGTGACTAATGATATGCCGCCGCGAGGTGAATCGAAATTTATGATCTGAAATAAATAACGCCGGCGTTGGCGGTGTGAGGCAAACAGCTTAAGTGCCAGGACACAAATTTTTTTTTGGTTTTTTTTTGGTAGATTGCCACATTCCCAGTTGTTGTGGCCATAGTATTTCTATATATGTGTTTGTGTTCCTTTTCGGGATGCTGGGCCCCATGGCGAGCTCATGTTAGTTAAATTTTTATTAATGACATCGTGTTAGTCAAGCCAGGGTGCGCTTTAGCTCCAAAGCTTCGTTATGCCAGGCAAATTTCTTATTTCGCCAGCCACTCCCGAAATGTAACAAAAACGTAAAAAATACAAACCGACAACAGAATTTCCTTGACATTTGCACAAAAAAAATAAGAAGAAAGATTGGGGATTCACAGGAAACACGGTGTGGTGGGATGAGATTGCGGCTGACCAAGCATTTGGTACCTTAATAGGGGCTCTGGTTTTTTTTGAGGGATACGGATCCTGATTTTGTGGTCAAATAAAAGCTATTTTTTAGTATTTCAAGACTATTTATTATTATTGGATTTCGGATTATATGTGAAATAATTTTCCTAAAATATATTATGGGTTGAAAAATGATTTCTTAATATTATATTTGGATTTAGGACAAATCTAAGTTTGTTAAATTGTAACATTGTAATCAATCAAGGATCATTGTAAATCGGAATCATGTATTTTCAAGTAGTTTGGCTAAAGTTCATTTAAGAAACTATTAAGTTAGGACTGATTACAAATCGATTTTAAATTAAATTCACTTAAAGTGAAAGCCAAAATAAGTCTACATTTATATTTGATATCTTAAAGGTCTGACAGTTTTGGGAACAACTCTTAAACCAGCGATAAGATAGTTTGACAGACTTCGTTTCTGATAGTTACGATATGAGGAAGGATATTCCCCAGAGTAGGGGTAGCATATCGCTTAGAAGTTTGTACTTTTTATGAACACGGCCAGAACTAATAATCGTAAAGAACCAAGAAGTCAGCCGCAGGTAGGACCCTTGTCAAGCGTAATTATTGATGCGACTGCTGGGCTCTATTACGCCTGGATTATGTGGGTGTACTTGGGGACAGCCATGAATATGAATGAATATGAATGAATATGAATGTAAGTATAAGCATAAGTATATATAGTATACACGTGCACATGTCAAGTGGTCTCGTTGCGGTTTTTGTGATCTTGTGATGGGTTTTTGAGGGGGGATTTGTGGGCTCACCTCGCGGTTGTGCGACCAAATGACGGTTGGCGGCGGTTCCGGTGCAAATTTCACAATGCAAGTCAAATTGATGGTGGATCCCCGGTTGATGTGCAGCTCGGGGCCGCCGATGATGTCGGTGACGGGCTCTGCAAGAGAAAAATACAAAAAAAATAAGCACAGGATGAGCAAAGTACGGGGTAAAATCATTCCATAAGCTGGGCCGCACACGCAAAATGGCGCATAAAACATTTTGAAAGCTCATTTTGTTTAAGCCCGGCCAACAATAAAAGTAAAAAACAAAAGTACCCACACACATACACAAGTAAAGGGCCAAGGACATTCGAAGTCGTCCTGAGCCTGTTTAAGAAAAGTTTATCTACCGTTGCGTTAAATTGTTTTCTTTCCTGCTGCGTAACCAGAGCGTATGTACTAACCCCTCCTGAAAAAACTCCCAATACCCCTCTCCAAAAAAACTGTGTGTATTTGACATCTACACATTTGTTTACTTTCTTATTCATCGTAAAACAATTTCTGACTTTCGAGTGGGCCAAGAACCGGGCTGGAAAAAAAACACACAGCAGAGTGGGCATAAAGAAAGCAAAAAAGGGGGCTGGGATAAATGCAAAGCGACATCGGAAGAGGGAAGGAAAGTAAAGAAAGTGGGCTGGAGAACAACAGAAATCTCAAATTCAAATGCTGGCCAAAGTAAACAACAAATTGTGTCATTAGTTCAAGGACATTGATTGAAATCTCGGTTGCCCGTAACTAAAATTGGAAATTTTTAACTTGCCCCCTGCTTGGCCCCCTCAGACACTTTTGTAAATGCCGTGCGTACAGTGAGCGAAATAAAAGTCATGTTTAGGGAATAACAAAAAAATTCCATTGCCAAACTACAAAAGAAATAGAAAATATGGTTTTGATTTATGTATAATTAAGTTGGTTTTTATAAAAGAGTAAAAGCAAAAGTTGTATTATTTTTAGTACCTTATAAAGGTGTAAAAAACATATTAAATGTTAAAAAAAAACATAAATGAAAGGTATTAAAAAATTAGTTCAGGTAAACAATAAAGTGTGCAGGTGTCTTGAAACTAAAATATAATAAATTTGAAAGTTATTTTTAAATAATATGTTGCTTAGCCATGACTATCTTTTATTAGGCAAGGAGTTTTTCTTAAGAATGCTTTAGCATTTATTGAGTTATAAAAATATATCTAACCATATTCTATAAATCATTCAATAAATATAGGTCACCAAAAAATATTATTTAAGGATAGTATATTTTGTTAAATAAATTGATTGTATAATTATAGTATTTACATTTCAATCCCTCCTGTTTAATATTGTACATCTTTAACTTTAGTAATATGTGTATTTTAATCTTTAATGGTATTTTGTTCAGTGTATGAAGGAGCTTTCCTTGTTCGTTTTCCTTTGTTCAATGCTAATAAATTGGGATTTCTTTGCTGCCGCCTTCCGCTTTTCGCCTTCTTCTGCTTCTCCATTTCCATCTCCATCTCCCTTTCCATCTTCGCCCTCTTCTACTTTCTCCTTTCCCCCTCGCCGCCATTTTGGGAAGCAGCAAAATGGCTGCTTTAGCGCTTCCGGTTCTTGAGCAACTTTCGTCATAGTGTGTGTGTGTCAGTGTGTTCGTGTCGGAGTGTGTCAGTGTGTGTGTGTGTCTGGAAGTGCAGTTACTGTTGTCGGCTAACGGTAATGTGCTCTCTTGGCAGAAAACGCCGCTAAAGGTTAGTGAAAGTTATGTACTGCCAAATGGCAGACACTCGCCCGCAGCCCGAAGAAAGTGGGCGTCGGAGAAATGTGGCAAAGTGGGCGTGTGCTCGCTCCGCTTTTTCCTACTACACTATTTTCCTGTGTTATGCGCCCCATTTTCGTTTGCAACGTGCTCTAGTATCTCGTATCTCGTATCTCTCAATCTCCATTTGAAGTTCTTTATGCCGCGCAGCCATCTCCCCGCGGTGATTTCCCCCATTTGCCACAGATTTGATCTCCGGTTGCCCGGTCAACCTGATGTGCAATGCTGCCTGCAGTTAACCCGGCGAATATACCGGGTTTTTTCCCCAAAAAACTCTCCTTGCATCTGCATTTTTGGCCGGGATTTCACTTGAAGGTATTCCTCGCGAGTGCCATAAACGAAAAGTTAGCTAAATGGAAACATTTTGAAAGGGATTCGGGTATACAACAAAATAGTCTTTTATGGTTATAAGCTGCTTTTTCTTTGAATATATCTTCTGGTTAAGGGTAAGTATGCAGAAAATGTTATACAATTTCCAGTAAAAAAAACCCTGTGATTAAAACAGACCAAGCAAAAATTCCCCTTTGCCCTTCAATCGTTTAGCCTAATTGTTATTATTATTTTCCCAAAATGCCAATCTCTTGTAAAAAGCATAAAATAAAGGTTCGATCAGCCAAGGCAACTTGTTGAGGGTAATTTCCCTGCATTTTTAAGTGTCACCCTGGTCTGGCAAGTTTTCTACTCCTGAAATATTCAGGCGAACAAAGAATTGTTTTCAATACGTGTTCGTTACCTTGCATAAATTCCTTGTCCTTGCAGGACCTTATTTATTTTCCTTGGCTCGGCCGACAGCTTTTATGGCAATTTAAACTTTGCCGTTCGCAGCACATTAAACTTATTGATCCAAAACAGGTTCGGAATTCGGCCGGAGCCTTTAAAAACAATGCCAAAAAGGACACGGGAGGCGTAGGAAATTGCGGGTCATTCGGCACATGTGGGCGTTGTGTGTGTGGGCGTGGTCGGGGGGCGAAGGGCGTGGCATGTGTGTGTGTTCGGCGAGTTAATATTAAACAAATATTACGCATACGACACGGGGGAGCAGCTGGAAATCATCAAACGCTTTCGCTTTGTGTGGATGTGGGTGTGTTTGTGTATCTGTGTAGCGCCAAGAAGTATGCAGCAGGTTTATTATTTATGCCATTCATGCGGTAGAACATTCAAATAACCCGCCATATCGGGATCCATACACCCCCCATCGCACTTCCTACCACATTCCATCAGTCCCGGGAGGAATTTATGACCTTTCTACTTTTAATTTGGACAAGACAGGGGGCGCTATCCGGAGGAGAATTCCATGCTCATGCGCTCCTTGGAGCATTCCGAACGGATTATCTTTGGTGATTTCTAGTTTTCCCTGGGAGCTCCACAAGCCCCTATACCATCCCATACCATCCCCTCCTCATCGCCACTCACCGACTCAATTACCAGCCGAATTGGACTCTTAGAACTACACACCAGCGGTCAGGAAAAGAGTTTTTGCTATGGATATCCATCACATAAAACAATTTAGGCATAACAATCAACTGTATAGCTTTTATAGGCACACAAAATTATTATAAATATAATCACTGATACAAAAATTAAATTGAAACAGTAAATATTTGTATATCAAACTCAAATTTTGGTATTAAAGATTAGAATTAAATGCAAGATTTAATTTTAAATTTTTAAACACACACGTAGAAAATATTAAATAATATTCTAGTCCTATTTATTAAAAGCATTATTAACTTAATTATCAATAATTGTATTTTAAAATTTTGTTTTATAAAATTTTTCATCAATTATACATTTTTAAATGATGAAAATCCAAGGAAAATATTTAAATTGACTTTGAAATTAGTTATAAATTTGAGGCAATGCCAATGGTTGCTTTTCTTAGTGTTATTTGTATGTAACTATCCAAATAATATATTTGTATATGTATTAAAACATATTCTATTAGTTGTAAGGTTTTCAGCATGTAAAATTTCATAAGTTGTAGCGTTAGGTTAAAATAATATATAACATGGATATGTGGGGTTGAAAATATTGCTTTTGTATTTTTTAAGGGGAACCTATTAATATTTTAAAATATAGAAAATTTAATTTTTGATTCAGTTACCAGGGACCCATGAAGGCCATATCATTTTGACCCCTACTGTGGTTACCTTGGCCTGTTCCAAGTGCGTGACCAAAATGCAAACGGCAATGGCTGAGATGGGAGATACCGGGACAGACAGTCCAATCCAGGGGCTGGGCAGCAACTCCAGCTCATTAATCAACGTAATTTGGAGTCTTTGGGAGTGTAAACGGCGCTTATGAATGATTCATGGCCCCCTTCGGTGGCTACGGGGCAATTCTTCCCCCTTCGATACGGAAATTCGACTGCTCTTATCGAATTAGTTGCTGCATTTGCGCCTTGCACTTTGATTAATCGCCATGTCAACATTTGAGCCTAATTTGCAACTTTTATGCCGGGGCTTTCGAATGTGATTTATGGCCTAAAGGCAAACACCGAATTGGCCAAGAGACGCACACCCCGAAATAGCGAAACAGCCCCTAAATTTAAATGGCACAGTGTGTTGCTGCTGTGTGTGTTTTGCTCCCTGTCACTTAAAGGCATGTAAATCAAATAATAAATTTCAATAAAAAGACAAATAAAACCCATCAAACGTGCATGTGCCCAAAAATGATTCCCAAAAAGGTCGCCTTTGGAGACCAGCCGCCCACTTGGGTTTCTGGTTGTTTACAAGCCGATTTTTAATGCCTGCCGAAAAACATTCGATATTTGATACGTTGTGTGATATACAGGCCCCCGGCGCAATGTCTAGGACCTCTTTAAGGAATATCAACTTTTTTATTTCAATAATTTAATGGACACATCACTCAAATGACTCAATCTAAAGCAGATTCAAAAATATATGACAGCCTTGTAAGAGTGCAAATAGCCTGCTTGTTTTGATCATTAAATTAAATCTTTAAAGGGAAATCCAAGCTCTCTGATGTTCCAAAATCATTTATAAAATATTTTCTGTCACTACTTAAGTCTTCTAATTAACTACTACTTACGATATAAACTTTATCTGTATTCTGACTGGAAAACCCCTTGGCAATCTCTAATCCGAACCATAAAAGTGTCACCATTTCGGTGTGGATTTTTATATGTTTTCGTTGCTGCCATAAAGGTTAACGTAATGCCGCCTATAACAACACACAAGCACCCACTTAGAGGAACTTTTGGGGCTGGGGCACGCCCATTTTGCGAAACTGAAACACTGAGATGGCAAAGGCTTACACGCTCATAAACCTTTATGCGTTTTCAATTGAATTGTCCCGAAGTTCTGGGCGGAT